GTTTTCAACACACATACATATATAGGATCAGAGCAGAATGAATAAATAGTAACATTTTATAGCCCAAAACAAGTTGATTCTTCAGTCAGCTCCGTTTGTCAAAAGGCAAATGATGAAGGTCAGCGGTTCTCATGAGATCACCGTAATACATCTTGTTCTTTAGCGTTGAGTTCCAAGAGGTCATCAATACGACACTACGACACACACTCATTATATTTCAAGGCCATTTCGATTTACCGTTCTTTTGAAAATCCTATACCGCTCTTTATCGACACGATGATTGTATCTAGTCAGCACTGATTTGAATTTATGCCGCTTCAGACATTTATAGAGCTTTCTCCAAATCAGAAGAATCGAAGTCGTTTGGGCAACTCACTGACTTTCTTCCGATTCTAACTAAATATCTAAATGACCAAATAATCCCAAATAGCTAAATAGTTCAAATTACGGAATGATGTAATATTGCAATTGTCATCCATTTGTGAGCTATTTTTCAAGTTTCAATTATCTAGCTCATCGGGAACTTCTTTTAAAATTGATATCAAAATTTGTACCGGACAAGAAGCGAGCTAATAAAAACGTTTTAAAAACATAAAGCATGTTTATTTAATTTATTTTTGTAAAAATATACAACCGACTTCAAACGCTCTAAAAAGAATGAAATAATTTCAATAAAGTAAACTTTTGTATTAGGCAAGCTCACGTATTTTAAGTCGGCGCAGCTCCATGATGATTTTTGATACAAAATTGAAAGAGGGTGTCCATATTGCAGGTGACTATCTATAGCTAAAGGTGTTAATCTGCATGTCTTTTTCATAGTTATGCGTTAAGTGTTATTTTATTAACGTAATCAGAGATCGGCATTATAGTGGTATTAACGAGTATCTTTAAAAAGAATATAACTCATTTAAATGTTTCTAACTTGGAAAAGTAACGTTTTAATACTAAATTAGCTCCTTTTCCCTATCATAATATCAAACTAAATTATTTTCCTATTCATATAGAACATTTGTGTGTGTTATTTTCATAATGCATTTATTCTGAAGTAAACATAAAATACAAGAAAATATTTCGTTTAATATATAAACAAAACAGTTCAGTATATTTTTTATATATTTATGTTATCCAGCTACAATTTATTGATTTTCAAAATACACACACAATATTTAATTTCAATCATATTTGCAGTTTGAGCCGCGCCGACTTGAAATACGTAAGCTTGCCTAATACAAAAGTTTACTTTATTGAAATTATTTCATTCTTTTTAGAGCGTTTGAAGTCGGTTGTATATTTTTACAAAAATAAATTATTTCATGATTTTTTTTTTTAGTGACTGTATAATTTTCTATATATTAATTACTTGAGAATTTTTGATAAGCAAAACTGTTTGAAACAATCAAAAGTTCCACGGAACAATCATTATTTTAAAACTGCTTGAGTCACCTGTTCAGGTTACATAATCAATGGGTATAGAAATAAACATCTTTAGATATTCCTTAAGAAAGAAAGAGTTGTCCATTACATTAGGCCTAATGAAAAACTAATTGTCTTTTCTAGATACATTGAAATGTCAGACATCATCGTTTCCTGCAATCGGTGTACTTCTACATTATAAAAAGTAATACAGTAACGTCTCAAGCCTTTTGGAACAATATGAAAGTTATTCCTCAGCTACCAGAACTAAAAAATCTCTCAAAAGTGGAAAATTGGTCGTTAACACCATACTACCTTTCGTACCTTTGGAAAATATTATATGAAAGATTGGTTCAGCTATAAGTGGTGTAAGTCATGTAGGGGGTTTTGTTTGCTCAAGATATAGCCTAGTCGAAATAGCAAATCATCTTCCTCTAGGACTTTCCGAAGCAGGTGTAATAGTATTGATATGATATAGTAACTGGGTAGAGAATATCAATAAACATTCCACATCTGCAAATGCATGTTTAGTAATTAAAATATTTAACACTTTTGAGACAATTGACGATTATGCACTGTCACACTTCTTAGGTCATGTAAGTGATAATTGCATTTGAATTATATTTAGACCTGTTTTACGAATGCTTTGGTTTTCACAATACACCTTAATTACTTGTCAATATCATACAGCTATTCACTGAAACATATATGTTTTTGTAAGTCAGAATATTCAATACGTTAAAATACATTTTTTATAGTAACCAAAACAAAATGCATTTTTCTCAATGTAATTCAGGCTCCATGGCAGGAAATAGTTTATTGATCAATATGAAGCATCTGTTTCATGAAGAATTGTCTGTAGCTTCATTTAAATGGTTTCAACTAACAGCTGTAGGAATGTTATTATTATTTATTGCCTTCTCTGCACAAATGTAAACAATCTGCACAAATGTAAACAATCTGCATAAATGTAAACAAAATAAATGTTGAATATTTAAGGTTTTCAGAATTTTTCACCGAAACAAATATTATACTTAAACATAATATATAAGGTACCAAATAGAAACTCACCTGGTTATTTTGGTGGTGGAACCACTCTGATCGGTAAAAGAATCACAGAGAAATTGGTGAACATACATAGAAAAAAAAAACATCGCCACAAACAAATTGAGAACCTCCTCCTTTTGTTGGTAGTGGGGAAGTTGGTTAAAAAACATAAAGCATGTTTAGGTAAAACATGGGTTTTTTATCCAAAAAAATTATCTAAGAGTAGGAACAGGAGAAGTTTATGACTTGTGAGTTATGATAGGTACAGAACCTTTTGTAGTTTTATTTTTCTATTGGTTATTTAAAATATGTTCAATGAAATAGTCTAGCATTATCACTATTCCTGATAATTTCCATGCTATATTATTAAACTGCATATTAATTAAATTGAGCCCAATTAACTTTAATACCTTTTTTCTGTGTTTTGAGGTAATTGATATAGTATTGTTTTTATATTTTACCAAGAAATAAGTGGTTAAAAGAGACATGTTGAGTAATTTAAGTCAAGTAAAATTTGTTCTTATAATAAAAAACAGTGTATAATAAAAAAAATCCCTAAAATATAGACTGGTATTTTCAGTTGTATTGTATGTACTTAGTTCAAGTATGGTTTTTAGTTGAGATAATATTACAAATGAAAATATTTTACGTAATTTACAACAAAATAATTCGACAAAAAGTGCTGGTACGATGGGATTGCTAGTAATTATTAGATCCCAATAAAGAAACACTGATGGAATTAAGCTCTTTGCAAACCGAACTACTTTATTTGTAGTCCTACTTATAATATATCAAAAATTAAAATATTCTATCAGTTTTCTAACATTTCAAGTTTAAAGGAATCATTTTTTCAGTTTTCATTTTCTACTGAACTCAACAAACACTTTTCTCTCTAAATACTACGTTTTATTACAATTAAACAATTTTTTACACAACCAGAAAATATATTGAAAAGCCAGTCGTTGGATTTTAGCTAAATAAAAATAGAACTACAGAACTGCAAAATCTAAGAATAGGGAACTACTGTATTTTAATCAGGTGCCTTAAATTACAAAGCTAAAATATCAAGGATACAAAGCGGTAGATGAAGATGTATCATGGTTTCATCAGACCAATGCAGACATAAATGCCACAGAATGAGAGGAATTGACCCTGAATTACCAAGGAATCCTGGGAATTGATGCATTTCTGTCCATGATTATACCTATTGAAAAGAGCTAGTTTTAATAGATTTCAACCGTTTGAAATTAAAGCTTTAATATTTCTCATAAAATTTCAATATGTATTCAGGTTGTTTGTTCTATACTTGTTGTATCTAGGTTATTGTTCTTATAATTTCGTAGCGTTATAGTGATTTTACCAATAATGAAATGAAATGAAAAATCCTTTATTTTTTCAGGCAAAGTTAGGGCCACAATAATGTATTTTGCGAACACATAAAAAATAGTATCGTCTGAAATGATTTAATTTGACTTTTGTACGAGTTGTAACATATCACTATTGATATTATCAGTACTAGCTGCTACCCACAGGCTTCACCCCGTTTGACTTTATAAGTATTAATAAAATTACTGATTGGTTAGGTTAAGCTGAAATAAACAAATCAGAATATAGTAATGCAAACAAATAAGTACAGCTGAGGTATATTTAACATTAGGTATATGGAAAGTTCCCTTTAGAAAGGAATTACGACCTTAAAGGGCAATTTATGAAATAATGGATAGTTTTGCGCAAGGTTTCTCGTCATGACGAACATTATAAGTATGTGGTTTATGGGGGTGTGATTTGAAGTTATCTCAAAAGTTCATGGTCACTTTGGGCTTTATATATAGATTTCTTAAATTAATTAGTTTTAAAAAATCACGAGAACGGCTGTTAAGTGTGTGCAACACATAAAATTTTGAGATTTTATAATATTTATTGAGTTTGTTGAAGAAGATTTTAATAAAATGTATCGAAAAAATATGTCTAGTACTATGTAATGACTCCACATCATATGAATTATAATCCCAATAATCAAACTTTGTGCCAAAGCATGAAACATGTTGGAAGGAGGTCGTAGATGTTACCCTAAGTAAAAATCCTGCAAGACTCATAATTTTACAGAAAATACAGGTGAATCCTGAATAAAAGTGGGAAAAGGTACATTTAACAAGTGACCAGAAGTACACTCAAAAGATGATACGAAATAAATTTTCAGCCGAAGTTAAGTCGACGAGAAAAACTTTAAATAAAATTTTGTCAAAAATAACTGCCAAAGCATGTATGAAGGAAGAAGTACCGAGTCTTAACACATCTTAACCGGCGTCTCAACACGTGATAAAAATATCCAAATTCATCAATGGGTAAAAAAGATCATCTCAACAGGATTAAACACAAAATTAATTGTAGCATGAACAGCGGGTTGGATTATATAAAAAGTACTATTATATTGGAAATAAAAATTTTCGTGAAATAAAAAAATTAATAAAAAAAATGGCACCCAAAGTATAAATGAGTCGGCGGGAGCGCGCACGGCGGATTTCTCCTGGTTGAGATGTAGGCCGCATATATAAGCCAGAAGACAGCGCCGCGCCAGTCACTACAGTGCAGTGCCGTGCTATCGTCATGGCCGTAGTGTGGAAACATCTAGTGTTATGTGCGTTACTGAGCGGTGTCGTCCACTTCGGTAAGTCAATTATCACATTTAATTGCTAATTAGACTAATTAGGTGTAGGCTTTTGGGCGTTTTGGATCTTTTTAGGGTAGTTGGGGATCAGGAAGGTAAGGTTGTGAGGTATAGGCCTATATAGAAGTTTTTATGATATGGGGAGAGGAATAAGGGGAATTAGGGTAAGAGGAGTTAGTTTTTACGGTAAAAGTTTGGAATTGTCTTCGGTTAAACATCGTTTGTAAATGCATTGGTGACCAATGCTTCTAGGTGTTGAGATTGCTTCGACAAAAACCTCAAACCTTAAAGGAACTTTTTGGGGTATTATATTGATTGGGAATACTATTACACTTCAAGACAAGTTTTCTTCTTGTATACAAGAATTGGTGTATGTTGGTTGGTCGTTGTGTGTTGAGAGGTTAGGATAGGTTATAAACGGAGAAAGATAGTTCAACATCAGTTGTTTCAACTAGTGTTATAGTGGAAAGATACCTTTAATATTTGGGGATTAAATTTGCGTGGTTAAGAGTATTTAATTGTACATTTGTAGATGTAATACAAACACGCATAAAAAACCACTCGCAGATTACGGTTCCTAAAGTATAATAGTTAACCAACTAGGAGTACTTTAGTGGTTTTCGGGTTGTTTTTTTTAAGAAACAATTTGGAAGAAGCCATTTTCAAACTATATGTTATTGAACAGTTTATTTTCTTTAAACATTCGTTACTTCGTAGCCCTATCATTACAGAAACAGATTTTGATTAGCAGCTTGAGTTTTAACTGGTGGGTAAAAGGTATTTAAAGGGAATAAAGTTTATTTTGTTGGAATGAGGCATTTTCCATCCATGGTGTGGTAAACTTGATTATCTACTTTAAAACACTGTAACCTCTTGATTCGAATTAACAGTATTTATTTATTCCTCTTGACGTTACTTCATTATACCGTTATAACATGGACGATGATACTAAAACTTACGAAAATATTTAAGGTGTACCAGTAAAGTTGGTTTTGAAATTTCTTTTGGAGGATAGTCAAGCTTACGTGTCTTATATCTTACCATTAAAGCTCTAAATAATTTAATTTCTAAACAATACATTTTTTTATTTATTTTTAACAAAAATAAAATCCTGTATAATAAAGGTGAAGGCCCATAAATTTACACACCCAGTATACTTTATTTGAGGACATCAAACTTTTTAAGCCCGGAACAGGTTGGTCGGTTCATTATGTATTCTGAATTGCGTAACCTGGGTTATTCCGGAATACCTCAGAACATTCTAGTGATATAAGTGCCGGTCCAGGATTATATTACCATTGTACCTTTCAGGTTATTTAATGCATTCCTGAACAGCTTTACCTTTTGTATTTCTTGAAAGCCTAAGTAACGTGGCAATTCTTGCCGTGTGTCGACTATTGTCTTTTACGTTTTATGCGACAGTTAAAATAAAACAATCTTAAACACTTCTATTGGGGGAAAACTCGTCAGCTGGTTAAGGATATGCCGGTAATCGAACCGGTTACTCCCCAGACATTAACCACAGTAGTGCAATTCACAGTGTTAAACCCCCTTATTCCAAATCCCCTTGATAAATTAGACGATTGTTCCTCAGTAACAAAATCAACTAATGAAATTGAAAAGACAAATAGGTCTTCTATCAGAGAATGGTGTTGTATCCATCTATCCATCTTATTATATTGGTTATTTAATAGGGCAACATAATTCTGTGATAATTGTTTTGAAGCTGACGCAATCGATCACCAAGGCCAAGGTATCGTTGGATAGGTCGTGGCACGTAGATTTGCCATCAAATTAAGAAGTGTTTGAAATTCGATTAGGGCTCTGCCTCATTGGCCTTCTAAGTTTCCATGTTATAACAGTATATTAATATTATATTGGCAGGGTGAATCAATTACTTTTCAGATCCTGTTGACTTAGACATCTTTTATTCACATTCACTCATTAACTTGATTTAACAGTAATACTTTACGGTTGGTGTGCATAATTTTTTTAACATTAGTTCACAACTCAACTCAGGACATGTAGGCCTAGTTGAAATGTAGTTGTAATGTAGTTTCTTGACAAGAGGCAAAGAGGAGTCGCTTAAGGCGCAGAGGAGAGGGATCAGAGAGCGAAGGGTCATAGGGGTGTTTAGTTTATTTAGTTTAGTCCATTGTAGATATGGTATTTCACAGACAATCCCCGTAACACCTAATTAATGTCGTTTATAAGATAGAAGGATTTTTAATGTTTTACAACAATGTTACCTTGGGTGACTAAACAAACTTGCTTATTTTTACATAGCCTAACCTTCACTTTATCTAACTTATAATTATATTGACCATCGTCGCTATTAACTATTATAATGTAACTTTATCTAACAGATTCAAACGTAAATAAGGAAAACTGAAAAAGGGAGGCTGAATAGTTGAGGAATTTCCGAGAACCACGTGATTTTGCTGTTTTAGATGGACAAACCTACGGTGAAAGAATCTGGGGGGGGATGATTCAAAACAATTTAATCAGTTAATTAACTCTATCATACTATTACTTTATCAAATCTGAAAATATTAAGTCTTTTATCGAAACTTCTAATCTTCTAAAGACTTGAAGTTTTGTCTTTATTCAAGTCTCTGATTCCTTTATCTTCAGATTCAAATGTTGGAGGAATATAATTAAACAACAATCGTAAATGAAACACAAAATGGTCTCATCGTTTATAATGAGCCTTTAGCCTGTATCCAAGGTCCGTGTAGCTATTAGTTGGCAAATTACCTACAGCTTCAACAATAAAATTGAATCCAACCAATCAAGCATTAGACGGATAGTCAAATATGTCAAACAAACGAATAAAATTAATGATGAACGTTTGTTAAAATGAAATACCACACGTAAACAAACCGTGTATGTAGCCTGAAGAACATTCCAAACATTTTCTTTTGAAACATGTCTAGAACATGATATTTCTAGAAATCTCTTGAGTGGTGCCCCAAAGACTACCTCATTGCAGTTTTTTTAAAGGGTGTTTTTTTACTCTCGATGAATTGAGAGGGAAATTAATGATTTTGAATCTACCATTTTTCTCCAGGGCTAAAGGAAAATTAAAGACACAATCTTTAAGGAGTCGAAGGCTTAGATAAACTAGTATGGGCAAAAATTATTTTTACTACATAGCTTTTGACAAGCTTTGTCATAAATCCTATTAGATAAATAATCAAGTCATATATATAGACAATACAAAGTCAGTATTTGTCCTTTATAAAGTATATTTATATGAACAAATTGTATTAATTGTAGTGGATGTTTCCCGTTGAAAATATAAATATATACAGTTTTAAAAAAACCTTCCAGTTTATGTTAAAACTGTAATAATTTTATTGCTTCATACTTATTTGTAGCTTAACCAGTACAACGTTTATCAATTTGTGAAAAATTGTTGCAAAGCTCAATCCATTTTTGTTCAGGTTAGTAAAATGAATACAATTTGTTCTTTTAATGGGAAGTTCCTTAGCATGTTTATTGTTACGACGATATAAGTCTTTACCACCTTCCATAAAAGGCCTAGAGATCACGATGGTTAATATTCAGCGATGGTATAAACATTTATAAAGGACAGTAAAGATCTCACAGAAGCATCCTACCATAATCGTTTTACAAGTAGTACACTGGAATCATTATTCATCTAACCATGAAACTATTATGTTTAATTTGTCTATTTATTGTGATAAAAATATTAAGAAACCCCTTGACGACTTCAATAACAATAAAATGGTTCACACTTACTCCCGAAAATGATTAATTACACATCAGCCTTTTTATGGTTACCGATTATTTTTATGGATACAGTAAACAACGTTGTATTTGAATATGCACTCCCTTTACTTGAACGCGGTGATATTTTACTAACTTTCTACAAAGTAATGTAGAATTCATAAGCTGAATGCGAAATGACTCTGCTCGCTCGTGAGAAAGGATGGAGATTATTCTCAGAGAGATTGCAAAACGCCGTCGGCAATCTCCTCGTGATTAGCCATTGTAGTTGGGAAAGTGCGACCTTGAGAAGCTGAGTAGAAACTGTCGACTCCTCGGAGATTTTAGCTTATGCCTTAGAGTAGAAACTGTGGATGACGACTTCTCAGAGATTTGAGCTTTTGCCTTAGAGTAGTAACTGTTGACTCCTCGGAGATTTGAGCTTTTGACTTAGAGTAGAAACTGTTGACTCCTCGGAGATTTGAGCTTTTGCCTTAGAGTATAAACTGTCGACTCCTCAGAGATTTGAGCTTTTGACTTAGAGTAGAAACTGTTGACTCCTCGGAGATCTTGGCTTTTGCCTTAGAGTAGAATCTGCCGGCTTCTCAAAGGTTTGAGCTCTTGCCTTATAGTAGAAACCAACGTCTATTCAGGGATTTTAGCTCTTGCGTTTAGAAACAAACGAAAATCAGGGATCTTAGCTCATATCCTACAATAAAGCTTACTACTATGTTAATAATGGACTTCTTATATTGATATGTAAATCAACTACTACTCAGCAATTTGAGCTCTTGCCTTATGGTAGAAATCAAAGAGATACCTGCCTTGATTTCTTGTGTTGGATTAGAAACTGTCTGCTACTCAAAGATTTGGGCTCTTGCCTTGAAGTAGAGCTGTAGATTTGGTAGTTTTTTGTTCTCGGGTCAGAGTATAATCCTCAAGAGATGTAAACAATTGCCTAAGAGTTAAAACCAACGACTCCTCAGAGATTTTACAAATTTTATAAGATTCTTTACTGGAGAATTAAAGCTCTTGTTTTACGGTAGCAATCGACGACCGGTCATATATTTGAATTCTTGTTCCAAAGTGGAAAACTACGATACCAGAGATATTTTTTTGTTTAAAGCCAAAACCATCAACTTCCATAAGAGATTTTACCTTTTGTCTTAAATGATTTCATCTCTTCTCTCGAAGTAGAATCCATCAAATCCCCAGAGAATTAAATTTCTGTTCTAGAGTAGAAACCAACGTCCTGAAGATTTGAAATC